AACATTATACATTTATATATATTTATATATTATTTTTATTATATTGACCTTTCACCCATGCCTGGCTAACAATACAGAAGTTATAACAACTTGGTTCACGTGCACTCATGTTACCGTATCAAATAACATAAAACTAACCTTTGGTCTGGACAAAGTAACTTGTCTTGGCTGTGTTTTAGTCGACTAGTATTTTGTAAAATACAGTCACATTTCAATTATTATATATTATATATATGTATATAGATTATTGCTATATTGAAATAAGTTCTTAAACATATTTTTCCTAAAACAGAGAATGGTAAATAAAGAAGTAAAGCAAACAATTATATCTTCTACTTACGACCTTTGTACTCAGTTGTTGCTTGACATAGGTTGTTAAGCCTTTCAAAATTTTGCACGTGGAGAGTATGAAACAAAATATTTTTTTAGGTTTTATATATATATTTGAATAACTAAAAAATCATAAATTACGTCATCAATACCATAGAATTCAACTATAACTTATCAAGCTCAGTAACTAAGATGTATTTTACTCTAAACAAATATGAAATTTTGAGCAGAAAAAGATACAACCTATCTCATTGAAATCTTGGTTCAAAAGAAAGAAATGGTGCTAGCTACGTTAGAAAGGCTAAAAAAAAACACTAGGGGACATTCTGAGCTTCCGATTGGTTATTTATGTCATATATAGAAAGTAAGTGTATCTAAGGGAGTGCTTCCAAAAATGGAAAGAGGTGAGCAGGGTGCCACTGTGTTTGATTTATTACATGAGCAATATCTTAGCAAATAGAAAAGATAAGACCTTATTTTATATTCCAGCTTGTCAATATCTGTAATTTGAGTTTCTAATTCGTATGAAACTATAGACTTAGAATTTTGACTTCACAAACATCTAATTTGAACCAGTGCTGCATTCAACATACCACGTGATACACAAAAATTGATGTTTATCTGTGATTTTTAAGTATTTACTTTTAAGTTAAGAAATTGAGTAATATGTAGTTCTAAAATCGATTTTTATAATCTACAATTTGTTACCAAACTTATTGACATACATTCATGAAATAGTAGTTCAATAAAATTTTGAATGCGAGTCAACAAACGAGATGACATGGTCTTTCACATGTGACCCGTCTTGAAAGGGTTAAAGCTTGTTACAGTATACATCTATTTATACCTAAATTTTATTGTTTTATTACCCTTTGAACTATGTCTAAATATAAATATCAAATTATATGGAGAACATGCAATTCACATTATGGTATCGATTTACATAATGCATGGACTATTCGTGAGCATACCTCATAAAACTTATTATTATTAATATTATTATTTATTTTTCTTCATCTAACCTAAAATGTTTTACATTTTAATTACTTTCATAATAATAAATAAAGAATAGACATGAAAAACAAGATATAAAGTACTTACATGGGTCTTTTTTTGCTATTGACTGTTGATGAAACTTAACCTCACTTTTTTATACTGATTGTACTACTGCACTAAATAATTTCTATTTAATCAAATAATGCACGAAAGAATACAGAATAATAACATGTAAAAAGGAAACAATGTTCCATAACTGTCACAATCGTTTTGGCTTTCTAACTGTGTGATAAAAGGCATTAAAAATTCAGCTAAGCTTGTTGATGTGTTTCTCGTGGGAATAAAGTTTGAAGTGAAAGGTAAATAGACATTTCTCTGTATAGACAACAATGTATTGTAATACATCATTTTATAGAGAAAAACTTTGGCTTTCTATTGGTTTTAAATAATGTAGTCTTAAATGTCAGAGAGAACTATTGGCAAGTTCTGAGAGAGAGGATGTGACAGGTGGGTGTGGTAATAGTGATCTGATTTTCTATTTTATTGCTCTGTAACTAAATAAGATTGAAGGCTATGTAAATTGTGTTTTGCCTGAAAACATTATAATAAGAAGTATACATTAAATTTCGTGCTTCTCGGAGGGATGGTAAAAAATTAGACAAGAGGAAATGCAGATTACAAATGTCACAGTTCTCATACTAGTGGAGATTGAGAATTTTTTTTCTTATAAAATTAAGAACTTAAAATTTAAATAATACTAAACTTTGATTTATTATCTATGTTGTGATGCGAGTTTATTCATATACATTTGATAATAAAGTTGTTTAATTAAGTTTTGAATGTAACTCTGTGAAAGGTTGCAATATGTGCCTTTTTACCTACCCGAGGTGAAAGGGTAGGTTTTATTTTTGTGCAATTTATTTTCATTGATAAAACCTGTTAGAAGTTGATTGTGTACAGCTGTGTGCAAACTGTACACTGTTTAGTTTATTATGGTACAAAGTTCGAGGCAAAGTACTTGTGCTTGCCTTGAGTGTGGGGCATTTTGCAGTGCATATTTGGTACCTGGGGGGTCAAACCTTATGTGTCCCAACAAATTCTCATGCGTATGGGACACGGGAGATTGTATTAACTAGAACACTGAATAGTACTTTAGGCTCTCATATCACACCGTGATAAGTTAAATAACATTTTATTTATATTTTTTCAGTTGTTTAATGAACATCTGTATTTGTTGACATTGAGTTGTAGACAAAAGCAAAGTAAAACTTATGGAGGATCTCAATTAAGTAGTGTTTCAACCAAGCCTTGCGTTATGTTTATGAATTAGGCCTAGTGCTTAAATTAGACTACAAATAGACCTACTGTTACTAACGTTAGAGTCAGATAATATTTATTTACATGTATATAAGTGTGAATGCATAGTATTTAAATTACATAATTAAAGAAATAGTAACAGTGGAAACACTATCAAATTAAGTTACCTAAGTTTTTCAATTCCTATCATCTTCCATTCGTTTTAGTTATGAAATCCATTCATCTCCCCTACACTAAAACTGACCTGTTATTATTTTGTTCTGGATTATAGTGTGCTATTCCTTTTTCCTATAATTAACTAATTTTCATTAGTTAATTTATAGCAATCTTTATGGAGTTTTCTTAACACCCATTATTTTTGAAGGGCTACACTTTTTATTTAATATTGCATAAGCAGGCACGGATATAGGGGAAGGGTCATGAGAGCCCCCCCCCCCCCTCCATTTTTTCAGGAGTTAATAACTGTTTAAGAATGCATGGATTTAGAGGATCCAACCCCTCTCCTCCATTTTTATTTATTTTTTTCAGAAACTAAAAAATAACCAGATGTCCTTATTTTACCACACAGCATATAAAAAAATAGAAACATTATCTGGCAGTGTTTTTATGTGATTGGTCTATTAATTACTGTATCTGGCAGTGTTTTTATGTGATTGGTCTATTAATTACCGTAAAAGCTTTTTTTGAGGTTTTCTGAAATCAACAAAGCTGGAGTCTACAATAATCAAGTTAAGGCCCCAGTCAATAATTTAAATGTTGCCATGGTAAATTTTTATTCCTTGTTTGTTCCCAGGCTCACACTGTAGAGATTAGTTTCATCAAAGTTAGTTACTGCTTAGAGCACCAGAAGCTATTGTAACATAGACTTGTTACAAAATTGATTTCTCATTGTTTGGAAGTTAAAGTTATTGTGAAAAAGGTCTTTTTCATATTTTTTGATATTTAAAATAACTAAAAATGCAAAAGGTATTATAAGTAATGACTTTTATTCCTTAGTTTTCTAAATGTTCTAAGCCTTTATTATTAAACCTTCTGATCTTAATGCCATCATTAAGACTTGCAGCTCCCTCTAGCTAACATTTAAATTACAATATTGAAAATATAATAATAGCATTCCAACCACACTATATGTCATATCTATTGCTGACAACACGTTTTACACTATCCAGAGCTCCTCGGGTTGTCTGGGATACAACAAATGCAGCAGTGGTTACATCACTATTTATATAAGCCTTTTGATACAACAGTTATGGTGCATAAGCCTTTTACAAGTCAGTGAATAATGATTACAATTATATTTCTCATGAGACAATTTTTAATACTATATTCTTTACCTAGTCTTTTAGGGATTTTCAATAGGGAGGGGGTTGTAAGGAGCATGTACTAATCAGTTAATCAGATGTTGTCAATTAATGAGCCATTTGCATATTAAATTAGCAAATACCACTAATTGATCAGTTGTATATGATATATGATTGCTGAGACAAATTTGTTCACTCCTGACAAGCCACAGTTTGCAGTTTGAGCACTGATGTGTATTTGTGTATATAGTTTTGGTTTGAGATGTAGAAGTATGCATTTTTAAATGTTTGTGGCTATGTACTAGACTCATGCAGTTGAAAATGTATGTGTGTAGCTTTCTAGAAACCTACCCAGTATTTTACTAGCAATAGAACAATAAAACTATTTGTCCAATAGGCAAAGTGCAGTGGTAAAACTTGTCACTGTATGAATTCCACATTTCCCGTACTGTGTATATCATTCTTTATATTTTATCATTGAATACATGACTGTAATTTGGTTAACAGTAATAAAAAGTAAAAACATAAAATTGCTCACTGTTTTGTTTAACAGTAAATAACTCGTAAATCTGTAAACTTTTGCAAGTTACGTGCCTAGCTAAAGGCATTTACTAAGAACATAAGGTATAACCCAGTTGTTCCAACTTGTGAATATGATGTATATTTTAGTTAATTATATTTCAAAATCTTAAATGTAACTACTCTTAGATTTTGCAAATTTTCTTTATTGTACTTAACACAGTGATGAACTTGTATAATATATTCAGAAAATGCTATTATTGTGCTTGTATTTATGAATAATACTATATAATAAATGAAACAATGTATTCTGATGGTGTAGTAGGGACTATTATTATAGTAGATTTTACAAAGAATATAAATTAATGTTCATAAAATATTCAGTTACTCAATATGCTTAAAGTATTTGCTGTATTTTCAATAAAGATTTGTATCATCAGAATATTTACTAAATAATAAACTTATCAGATTTTATGAAGATTTTTTTTTTTTGGTAAACATAATGAAAAACTTCTTGCTTGCAAACATTGCAACTCAAATCATGAAATATCTAGTATAAAAGTAAAAACAATTTAATTTAAAAAAAGAACCAAACATCAACAAACACGTTATGTGTTGTTTACTCATAAAGAAGTTAAAACAATATTTATAAGGAAAAATCACACATTTTTAGGTCTGGTTACAAACCTTTTGGACAACCCTTGTACAGCTTTGATTTTGTTCTCACACTCAAATAATTTGCTCATGTCAGTGCAGTATATTAATATCTCCTAGAGCCAAAAGTATTGATCAGACCAGTTAAAGTTTGATTGAGTTATGATAAAAAATAAATTGCACTTAAGAACAAACAAATCAATGTTTCAAAAGGAGGTGTATAGAAACTAATACTGTTGATAATAGAAGTGACCAAGTAGAAAGCTCAAACATTTCAAGAGTTATATAAGTAAGTCAGGGTATGCTTTTACGGGGTACAAGAAAGATCTTGCCAGTGACTTAACTGTAAGTACAGGTGTGATACCTGCAGAAGAGTAAGATAGCATGAAGTGGCTTGTCTTAGTGGATATGTAGCTTCTGAGAAACCACTGTTTGGAGAAGGAGCCAAACTGAACTGTAGAAGTGGACATCAAACTTCAAACAAAGGAGCAAAGTTGTAGGGGGGTTCTTCTTACAGATGAATTCAAATTCAAATTATTTAACAATAATCAGCAAGAGGTTTTTTTGTTGGCAGAGTGTCACATTCAGTATACAAGATCTACATGTAAGGATAGCAGACCAATACAAAAGTGGGCTGCATCTTGGCCAATGGTGTTGAAGATTGTTGTAAACTTGACGGCACCCATTATGTCATTTCCTGTTAGATAAGAACTCATCTTTCAGCTAGTTAGTGGAGACAAATAATACACTTGACTTGTATGAAGTCAATATATGAATACCATTAAGGCTGTATTGGGTTATACGGAAACTGAGTGACATGACAACTTGGCTAAATTGTGGGGAGCAGCACAGGACATTTAGAACAATATTTAACAACCATATAATGATAAAGTTATGGTAACATAAAACTAAGTTTTTTGATCTGTTTGAAGCAAATACAAAAATAATGGTATATTATATAGCTTGTTTACGTTTCTGTTGTATATTCTGTAATAATGCATATTTTAGTATTAATAAATTGACCACTTAGCTGTAATTACTTATTGCCTCTATATTTCTAGTACTGTGTATCAGTGTTACACGTGTTACATTAGTTCTGTCTAATTATTTAGAATATTTTTCTTGCTAATATTATTTTTTGTGGTACTCATGTTAATTTTTGTCTTTCCAGCTAAACCATCACACAGATTGACTCTTCTCTATTTAGCCAATGATGTGGTACAGAATAGTCGAAAAAAAGCAGGCTCTCATTTTGGTGAATCCTTTGCTGAGGTTCTCAAAGAAGCCTGTGTACTTTTGAGGTATGTCACATTATCACTTTACTTTGTATGTGATATACTGCTTTAAATATCCAGGTATTACGTTTTTGAGTGTGATAATCTTGTAGTAGCATTTTGTGTTATATTTTTATAACTCGTCAGTAATGTAGCATTTTATTTCTTGTTTCTGTATGTAATTAAGTATATGTAACAAGTGTCAGGAGTGTAGTATTTCCATAAAATTTTACTTAGTATTACTAATATATTTATGTAATAAACACCAGGAACACTTGTGTATATCATTTCATGAAATTACTATTTATGTGCCAGGGGTTGAAAACTAAACTTTCTTAATTTTAGAAATACTTGTTACAGTTTCCTTTTTTTTTCAATAGTATTATCATGTTCATATCTAAAAATGTAATTTTATATATTATCGAGCTTGATTGTTAAATCTTTTGTCAGTCTAAATTTGTTTTGCTTAAAATGACAGTGCCGTTTCCTTCTTCAGCTCATAGAACAATATAACATTTAAGAAAGCTTAAGTGATTTTACATGTGTTGTATGTGGCTTAGTGGTTAGTATATCTGGATTGTGAAGCTGAAGATTCATGGTTTGTGTCCCATTGCCACAAAACAAAGCTCTGCATATTGGGAACATAAGTATGGGATAAGAGTAATGGTCAGATTTTACTATTCAGTCGGAGAATTGTAGCCCAAGAGTTCAAAATTAGGGACAGCTATGCACAAATAGTCTTTGTATAGCTTTGCATAAAAATTCTACAAATATACTGAGTTGTAAGAATAAAACTAGGAAGGATTAACTAGATGATTTATTAAAATATTATCAAAACTTTTGCTATCTAGTGAGAAAATACGTGTAGATAACTTCAGCTACTTTAGTAAGAGCTTAAAATTATAAAAATAATAAGCAAAATCCAATTTATTAGGAATAACCTAAGACTTAAGACTAATTCTAAAGTGCTTTTTTATGTCAGACACCTAGTGGCTAGAAAGGTTCTGAATTGCATTATTAGGTTTGTTCTAAACAGAAAATTTTTAACCATACAAGTACTTTTGTACTCTTTCATTATAAAACAGATTTGAGCCTATTCTGTTTTCCAGCTAAAAATAATAATTACATATTCACATTTTCTTCATCCTTTAAATGGAATTATTTGTGGCATTTAAGTTCGTATTTGGTAAGAAGGTTTGGACCACCGGCAGCCGAGAGCTACAGTTTCAACTATTTTCAGCTCTTATCATTCCGTCTTCAGCGATGGCATAGTGTAGAGGATATGTGAATTTTGCTTTTAGTGAAAATAATTCTTGTTGTATGTGTTTGTGTATACATAGGGACGAGAAGATACAGACATCGGTAAAAAGGGTGTTTAAGATTTGGGAAGAAAGAAGTGTATATGACCCTGATTTTATTAAAGAACTATATGATGTGCTTGGTAAGCTACTAGATCTTTTATTCTCATGAGGAATTTTTTTTTTGAGGGATGTTCTGTAATTATACTATCTATATTTGTAGTATAAAAACAATTCTAGATATCCACTGTTCTGTAATTATACTATCTATATTTGTAGTGTAAAAACAATTCTAGATATCCACTGTTCTGTAATTATACTATCTATATTTGTAGTATAAAAACAATTTTAGATATACACTGTTCTGTAATTATACTATCTATATTTGTAGTATAAAAACAATTTTAGATATACACTGTTCTGTAATTATACTATCTATATTTGTAGTGTAAAAACAATTCTAGTTTTCCATTGTTCTGTAATTATACTATCTATATTTGTAGTGTAAAAACAATTCTAGATATCCATTGTTCTGTAATTATACTATCTATATTTGTAGTGTAAAAACAATTCTAGATATCCACTGACCTGTAATTATTCTATCTATATTTGTAGTGTAAAAACAATTCTAGATATCCACTGTTCTGTAATTATATTATCTATATTTGTAGTGTAGAACAATTTTAGATATCCACTGACCTGTAATTATTCTATCTATATTTGTAGTGTAAAAACAATTCTAGATATCCACTGTTCTGTAATTATACTATCTATATTTGTAATGTAAAAACAATTCTAGATATCCATTGTTCTGTAATTATACTATCTATATTTGTAGTGTAAAAACAATTCTAGATATCCACTGTTCTGTAATTATATTATCTATATTTGTAATGTAAAAACAATTCTAGATATCCACTGTTCTGTAATTATACTATCTATATTTGTAGTGTGAAAACAGTTCTAGATATCCACTGTTCTGTAATTATTCTATCTATATTTGTAATGTAAAAACAATTCTAGATATCCACTGTTCTGTAATTATTCTATCTATATTTGTAATGTAAAAACAATTCTAGATATCCACTATGAGTCTGTTTACATTTTCAACTATACTTGTATATAACTACATCTTACTTTATTTTTTAAATGAATTAATATTTCATAAAATCTAATCATGTTCACTGTTGAAGAATTAAATTATTGTTAAGTAAATTATAAAGGTTATTTCTCACTAAATTTATGTTAACTTGCTGTGATTTTGGGAGTATGTGTGAAATTCAGAATAAGAATCTGCACAATGAAGTAAAAAAAATAAACTGGCAGGAAAAAGTGAAACAACAATAACAAAAATGTATCTAAAGAAGTGGACAGTTGCTAAGTCCAGTGGATCTTAAGATGCTTATGACCATCAGGTTCATTTATTTCCATCTTATTGATTTGTATGATAAAGCAATGTGGATTGAAATTTTATATCATAATATAGTGATGTCATGCTGCTAATTTTATTTTATTTTTTTGAGGGGGAGGAGCACAGTTGGAAAACAAAGTACTTTAGTTAACAGTGGGGGAGTTAATAGTAATAATAATCATACAAACAATGGTAAGTGGGTGCGTCTTTTTATATTATTAAATTACTTTGATTAATGTATTGATTTCCAACACAGACGAGTGTTTTGAACGTATTTAATCAAATGTTTATCCATGGATTTGGGGTTATTAGAACAGTGGATGGAAAACATTTAGGGGGCCACATTTGGCTTATGAGCACAATGCCACTGTCATAATACATGCTGTGATGACTACTGTTCCATGTTAATATATATATAAATATCACTTCTAATTGAATGACACCGTGGCTTATGTAAAACAAAATGTATTGTTACCATATTCAAAAATGTAGAAGCTACCAGTTAGGATCTAATGGAAATCAAGTGTTATTTACCTCGCATAACCTCAGATACTTGAAACAAGTTAAAAGTTTACATATTTTAGGCATATATAATCAACTTTAGATCCACCTTTGTTTTAACCTAGACCTTGGTATAACTCCATCATTAAGGTCAAAGTAAAGAAAATTGAAACAAGTTAATGGGGTTATTAGATAGCTCATAGTATATTTCTCATACATATATTTTTTGTATCTGGCTATCCAGACAGATATTTTTTACTTTCCATTAGTGGTGTTAAAACATAGAATATATTTTTAAATACTCTATCTATTGACTTGTAGCTATTTATGCCTAGTCAAAGAGTGCCTTCAGTTTTTAGAAAATAAAAATAAATGTTCTGTTTGATATTAGCCTGACATGATAAACAAAAGAGACGTAAGGTAAAACTTTTCATTTCTTTGTTATTAGAGTAAACGAATAATTATGTTCAGTTACAAAACCTTGTAACTTCAGGAAAAGCTCAGAAAGTCAAAAAAAAGATTTGAAAAATCTAATTCTGAATTTCTAACCTTTCCTTAAATTGAATAACAAAAACTTTTTGTGATGTTACTGGTGTATCACATTTGTTTTTACTACTCACTAGTTCCTAGTGGGTTTTCAGTCACTGTGAGTAAAGAATAATCAAATCTTCCTAACTTTTTATATGTAACAGCTACATTTAAGTATTTCCCAACATCTTTAACTGTAAAACATGTTTCTCTTTTTTTTTCTGTCCATTCATACACGCACACACTGTATATCATGAGTACTTTGTTAAATGAAAATCATCTGTTCTATTTTTACTTAAAGTTCATAAAACATTAATTACCAGAGAGAAGAAGAATTGTTTGGCAGTCCATTAAAAAAAGGATATAAATACCTGTGTATAAATCATATTAAGCAATAAATAAGTAGTACGAGATTACATTTAGAGATAAAAGCTAGATATGAATTGAACTTGAAAATAAAACATAAAATATGAAATTAAAAAGATTTAAACTGATCCCAAATAAATATACTAATTATATGCTACTGTGAATATGTAGAGAAATACATTTTTTGTTGTTTTAGATTTGTAATTTTTATGTACACAATAAAATCAAGTTGACTCATTTGTCTAGGACTCTTTTTTTTTTCATTGACAATTTTATTTAGAGATACATGTTTCCACTTCTTTATTATGTTACTTGTGCTCTTTTAATTATCTAAAAATGTTGTAATTTTGTAGTCAAATTGTTACTTAGTGTTCTTGCTGAAAACTAATTAATAGTTTGTGAGTAGCACATAGTTTCAGAGCTTTTATACATACACAACTAGATTTATATGATTTAAGTGCACAATAGTAATTTATTTTTTACTTTGGATGAAATGCTTATGTATGTTTTTTAAATTTCTTAGAAAGTTCCAAAGAAAGTCCACCAGTATCATCAAAAATAATTGCTGATTTTAAGGTAAAAAAGAAAAACTTTATTTCATTTTTAGCCTTTTTTATAACATTTATACTATTTTCAGTATTATATTTGGTTTATTAGGTACATTGACTTCCTTACACATAAGAATAGTAACTGGAGGAACAGCAGATAATTTTTTTTGTGAAGTTAAAACTGAATTTATGACTTATGGAGTTGAAGAAAGAGACTGAACACAATGCAAAACACAGAGGGAAATCTTTATTTAATTCTTAACACAGATCAGAAAAGTGAGTGCTCAAGGCAATTAATAGCACTACTCCCTATCTGCTGATAGCTTTCAGTGTTAGAAGTAGATCTGGTTAAAGTTGACAAAATCTATACAAAATCATATTGAGGCAGAGAGTTAATTATTACAAGGAGGAAATAATAGCTTCATCTTTCCTAGAGTGCATGTGCTACTCACATCATGACATGGTTGATTGAAATAGAAATGACTGGCAACATGTAAATAGGACGTCAGCAAGATAACTGCATTCCATAATTGGTTTTTCTATATGCTAAGCATATGTAAATGTATGTGTTTAAAAAAAAAATAAACTTTACTATTTACCTGACTGTACTACAAAGAAACCTAAATGCTGGTATGTTTCATAAACTACATTTCTCCTTCCCTCTACCTCACACTTGTCCTCAAGCCAACATCTATGGTAGCTTGCTGACAATCATCAGTGGTCAGGGTACAATTCAGTACTCTCACAAAAAATAGTAAAAATATTTAAATATTGTTGAAACTCTGTGTAACTATAACACTGAGTTGCTGTTGATGAAGGATAGGGTCTTTAAATGTTGTTGAAATTCTGTGTAACTATAACATTAAGTTGCTGTTGATGAAGGATAAACTTGGTATATGTCCTTTATCTGCACACTAAATCACAAAATAAAAATGAAGGTAACAGTTTAGGTAATGTCACATATTGAGCACAAAAGAATCACAATATCAAAGTTCAGAGGCTACTGTGTAAGTTACCAAAGATGAAGGGCACTGTCTCAGCATCAGATGTACATAAAAATCATATATTGAGGGTATTGATAACTATTTAAATTGTCAGAGAAGAAGGATAATATCACACACATTAATCATCTGAAGTAGGATGTTATATATTCAATTCAAGCTTTACATGATTGAAGCTACTGTCAGTAGCCTAAACTGACAGTGATGTTTTAATTGGAAAGTCTCCCTCTGATCTGACACGTGATAGAAACTTCTGTCAATTTTGTAGCCTGGACGTGACAGTGATGGTTTAATTGGAAAGTTTTGGAGAGTGTAATGTGCCATTACATTTGGTGCTGTTGTTGGGATCTCCAGATGGCTAGGCTACTGCTCATGAAGTCAATGCCTTCATGTTAGTGGTAGTGGCAGTGGTTGGTCTGACCACAGAAGCTAATTCTCAAAGGAGTGGGTAACATAAAGGTGGATGATGAAAGATGACCTCCTTGTGGTTTGAGGTGGATGGTGAAAGATTAACTGGCTGGGGTTTCTTCTTATTTTGATTAGACTTCATCTCAGGGGAGATGTTTGATTTGGTTATGTAGTGCTCTTTCTGAAGGCACAGGCGTATTTGTTTGTAATGTCCAAAACCTCCAAAGGGAGCACTTTACCAAAATGTATCACCTATTCTATTTCTCTGATGCTTCAGTTTTCACGACTGACATCATCTCTGATGGTAGAGTCAGATGTGTGGTGCTCTGGGACTAGAGCAATATGATACTAATGGTGTTCATATTCTCTCTCCTGCTAAAGATTAGGACAGCTCTTGTGGACCACTTCAAGGTGGAAGTCACCAAAGAAACAATGTTTTTCTTGTATTATAAGAGTTGTCAAGTAACAGAAGTGAACTTGGATATCAACTCTAGAAAGATGAGAAATCAAAATAAATGGTCAGAAAGTAACTCTACTCAAAAAATTTAAAGAGCCTTCATGGACTGAACTGAAACTGGCCTTTTGTCACATGTCTGAGATAATGTTACATCTAATTTTTCTTTGTACTGGGTTGACTAGAAACTCTGAGCACTACTTTTCTGTCCATAGACCATTGTGATTTCCAAAAGCTATTCCTCTTTAATAGTTGAACAGCACACTTACAGGTTTCTGTTGTGTTTACAAACAATATTGGAATCAATATTTTAGGATTACCTTTTGCATACGTATATTCCACTGTTTGTAGCCGCTGTATTAGAACAGTATTAATGCAAGAATTTTGAACAGTGACTACATGCTGAGTCTGGCTTTTTCTGATGCGACATTTATGTCATGCTTAGCAGCAGTTTTAGTTAAAGACTGATGTTAATATCATTTCAAATATTGTATTTAAGATATAACGCAACCAAATGGATGAAATTTTCTCTTCAGATTTGACTGAAACTTGCTTACTTTTAACCGAATAAAATTGTTTAGTGTGGATATAAACATAATTAATAGAATTCATTTTCATACATAGATGTATTAGTTGTGTTATGTTGTAAACAGATACTGAATTGACACTTGCTGTGTTAATATGGTAGAGCTATTTTGTTTGGTTCCATATGTGTAACATGATTGTGTATTGTCATTTTTCATCAAGCCTCAAAAAGTAGCTGATCAGATTCATATGGTGGATAAAATAGCCAAGGAGACACTCACCAAACTGACCATGCTGACTAACAGTAAAGTTGATGCAGCAAGTTCAGAAGCTTTGAGAAAGTTGAAAGGTAAGAACACGTTCTTAAAAATTGAGAGAACTCAGTCTAATAAACCAAAAAGAAAAAAACTGGTTTCAGAGATAAACTTAAAGACAGGGATGTTAATAACTTTTTAAAAGTTATCTAGCAGTAACTGCTACAGAAAACTAAAATTGATTAGCAGATTTGAGATGTTGTATATTAGAATGGGGTAAGTTCCAAGTGCAGTGATTTTAATAGTTTCAGAAGATGCTAAATTCATTATCCTTGCATCCATATTACACCTTTCTGATAAACACAGAGGACTAAGGTGTAGGAAACGTAGCTATTTTGGAGATCTCGTTCTTCATCTATAAATAGATGCAGAGAAATACTCGTGTTATTTTTTTGGGTGAAAAAAAAAATACAAAAGTTTCTATTAAATTTATGATTAGGAAAATAATAATTTATGAGAAATGTTGTTACACTACTGGTGATATGCTTCAGGATGACTGAGTAGTTTATGAGAAATGTTGTTCCACTACTGGTGCTATGCTTCAGGATAACCGAGTAGTTTATGACAAATGTTGTTCCACTACTGGTGCTATGCTTCAGGATAACCGAGTAGTTTATGAGAAATGTTGTTCCACTACTGGTGCTATGCTTCAGGATAACCGAGTAGTTTATGAGAAATATTGTTC